CTTCAGACAATTGGAAAGTGTATTTAGTTTTAGCAGTTCTTTATTATTATGGGGACTCTAAAAAATCTATAGGCTATAAATGCTTTTCTCAAGAGCTGGCAGTGAGCCCAGCCAATCTTAAATAAACCCAGCCTCGACATTTTTTAAAAATATAAAATTATATCAATATATTGCTAAAACTGAACCAACTTCCTATCTTCAAAAGATAAATATTTCAAACTGTTATTTAAGCAGAAATAATTTTTAAAGCAAAAATATGCACATATGTCTTAAAGATTTATATTTAAAATGGGATGCCAAGACAACAGAAATGAGAAGTCAGGTCTAGATTATATACATTATAGCCACTAATTTATTACTTTATTCTCTCTTATTTTTAGTTCTTTAAATATAAAAAGTAAAAATATCAAAACACCACACAACCTGGACAACACTGAACCATATAAACAGATTTGGTACATAACCACTTTGACATAAAAATTAACTCAGTTCCAAAAAGCAGAAAGTTTCCCACTCCTTAAAAAAGGTACAAGTTGCTATTGTTTTAACGGTCAGGATCATTTCCAACTTTATCTTCTCTCTTTTTTTATAGCAGTTTTGACAAGTGCCTTTGTAAGAGGAATTAATCTACTTGGAAAGTTGGGAGCCAAAGATAAAGCCAGTTTCTATTTTTCTTGTAAGAGTTGTTGGAAAGTGACTGTAGAGCTCAGAGCTTAGAATCGTTGTGCCTTTTCTGATTTTGGTGTTGTCTGCCATCTCTTTTTGCGAATATTGCCCATTCATCAAGCAGTGGTCAGCCTTCTTTCACAGAATCTAAAACAACCTGGCTTGGGATACTCTGCCCAGAAACTGTCTCATGTAAGGAAATAATTAGTGCTGACACCACGGGACAGAGAGGAGGGAAAAGATATTTGATGGAAGCTGTTTCTGTTTAGAGCTCTCTTTAATAGTTCTCTTTATTTTGTGTTTTTTTTTCGTTGTTGTTGTTACCCAATATCTGATTAATAAAATTCCTCATTAGAAGTTCCTGTAAATTAACTGCACTGAGAAAAATAGTTAACTGAATTTAAATTATGAAAGATTATTAATTCATCCATGTGATCAATCCTCAATTTATTTCATTCATTCCAAAGCAACTGTTTTAACCATTTTGATCTTAACCGTTCTAAAATTTGCCGTTTTCTAATTTAGGTCAATTTTAAATTCCAGAAGGTGCAGAAAATAGTTCAATTGCACTTGTTGCTGAAGACAAAATGAGCAATAAGTGAACAAAAGACTCTTTCTTGATCTTGGCTGAGGCTGTTCCTATGCAAAATTCTAAATTTGTCACTAGGATGTCTCAGTCTCACTTATGTAAATCAAACAAAAATTTAGCTTGAGACTATTTCTTGTTTACTCCCAGGTTGATTTAACCAAATTAAAGATGATTTGCATTCATTTTAATCCCAAACGATAAATATTTCATTAACAACTAGGATCACTGCTTCTAGGTATTTTTAGATCGTAAAGTGGCTAATCTGTTTTACTGATAACTGTTATATATTATCATAGACCTTTAAATAAAATTAGCTTTTCATAGTAAGTTTATTTCCACTGAGTCAAGAAATACCTAAAATACATTTCACTCAATACCATAATATGATATGGACCGTGGACTTAAAAATATGTAGCTTTTTGTTTCAAATAAGATTATCCTTGTCAGCTTCCCCGAATCATGCCAAATTTATATCAAAAATCAGTTAGAGAGGTTGGCAAAAGTAATTTCAAGATAATGTTGTATACTTTTTCATTTTGAAAGTTTTTAACAAACAAAATGAATATATTAAAATCAAATACATGATACATAATAAGTGGACAATAAAGATTTCGATTTGTTGTATGTGCGTGTTGATGGTAGTGTATATTATTTCAAACGTGTGTGGGTATTATAGGCAAAGAATTTAAATTGACTCCTCCACACTCAACAAGTGATTTTCCCCCTCCCTGTCCAAGCATTACAAGAATTCAAGCCATGATCATGCAAAGCCACATGGGGCTAAAACAGCATTTTCCTCTTCCGTGGTTTTAGTCTGATGGGCACCCAAGGAAACAAATGCCACCTAAGGATGGTCTTTGCTGCCTGCCCAAACATGTTTGTTTGTTATCGGCATTGGCCTGGCAGGATCTTGTTTCTGATCCTAACTAGCTGTATGGGAATTAGGAACCAGTCATTTCATCTCTCTGTAAAATGGAGTTGGACTAGACTATCTCGAAAGTCCCTTCTATTTCTCAAATCCTTTGATTTAGTGGTTCTGTTCCATAGCTACCTGATTTCTGGGGTATTAACTAGTCTACATGGCCAGCCAAGACCCAATCCAGATGCAGTGGAGCTTCTTCACATCTGTCATAGTAACAATACCTTTGTTCTGTCTTATTAGATTGGATCAAGATAATGGGAAGTTATTTATTATTGTTGTTGTTTTTTAAATCAGAAAATACCATAGCATCTAATGCATATTTTATAAAGACAAGGATATTCTGAAATGTTTATAGTATTTTTACATACCTGAATAAAACAGGTAATTTAAACAGTGTTAAGGTCCAAAGCCACCATATTTGGAAAAATAGGAAATGTCAGAAGCTATTTAAGTTGCTTATAAATTGTATTCCAAAGCTAAAAGTTTACTGGATGGGAAGGACCACGATAACAGTAGTTTAGACAAGAAAGCCTTCTTGAGGCTCTAAGACTGGGGGTGGGGCTCTGCCCAAGCTCTCTCGGAGCACCCTGTCCTTGCCCCTATTGTCACAACCAAAACTGTGTTGTATCAGCTTATTTGCTACTGTCCCTGACGACATACTGCAAGTGCCTTGAGGGCAGGGATTGTGCGTGTTCACTGCTGTACCCCTAGAGCCTAACACACAGCAAGTAATTGTTGGATAACTGTTGAATAAATAACCAGCTATTGTCACTTATTGATCTGCCAAGGGGAACAGAAGCAGGCAAGAGCAGCACCACATGACATAGCAATAAGAGGGACTGTTACCAAGAGCCTAGTGTCTGCTGGTTGCCAGGTGGGCACAGGTTCCCATCAAAGAAATTTCCATTCAGTAATGTCCCTACAGGGGCTGGCCCCGTGGCCAAGTGGTTAAGTTCGCACACTCTGCTTTGGTAGCCCAGGGTTTTGCCAGTTCGGGTCCTGATATGGACATGGCACTGCTCATCAGGCCATACTGAGGTGGCATCCCACATGCCACAACTAGAAGGACCCACAACTGAAAATATGCAACTATTTACCAGGGGAATTTGGGGAGAAAAAGGAAACATTTAAAAGCAATTAAAAAAATAATAATGTCCCTACAGTATGTCATACTATACCAGCCTACTATGAGTGGCACCAAAGGATACATGACATTTTGATGGGACCATTTCGACTATTTATCCAACTCTTACATGGACCTCTGCAAAATTTGCAAACAGTGTATTAATCACAAGCAGCTAAGCACAAAGAATGACAACTTTTCAAGGGAGGAGGAATGAGTCAGTTTTGGCTATATTTCAATAGGAAATTCCTCTGGCTATATTTTATAGGAACTAGGTGGGGCATCTACTGTGCAAGTGCTTCGCATACTGTTTGGTAAAGGATTAACAGAACCTTTCCCCCCTCTGTGTGAGAATTTGACCTTTGGTTATCTTTCTAGCTCTGTTCCCTGGCAACCTTATAAAAAGTAGTACATCAACTACGTTGCTAGGCAACATTACATATGGTAGAAATGACCCCTAATTGGTAAACTCCATCCGGACTGGGAGAATTATAAATACCTGATAGGAAGCCACAGTTCTGGCTTCCCTGAGTACAGTGACTCTTGGAAGAGACATGTCTCTTACGGGGACCCTGGAAACTATGTCTATGGAGTTGTTATAAGAGATGCTTGCTCCCGTGGGACAAGAGGCTTTTAAGTCAGGATAGCTTCCATATGTGCCTGATGAGGGTCTATCTCCTTGTGCCTGAGCTATGACACATGGACAGCTGCAGAGACTGACAGAAGAGCAACATTTGGTTCTGTCCTGCAGGCAACCTCTGCTTCCCATCCTATATCCTTCTAAGTGAATCTGACACCATGTGTGGCAGTTTATAAGTTTGAATGTTTCTAAACAGTCAGTTGAGCCTAAGTAGACCTCTGGAGAACATGGTTGTGCTATTTGCTTGTTTTTTTCTGGTGGTAGTAGACACTCCACGGGGACTATGGATAGTAGAAAGATGTGAAACGGTCTGGCGTGTTTTTCTGCTTCCAAAAAAATCCTGATCATACCCTTCACTGTCTGCATGACAGATAATCCACATCCTTTGCACATCACCAAGACATGTATCTCAAATCGATGCCCTCCCTTAAAATCCCCAGGCTTGTTACCACGAAACCTTCTTCATTCAAGCACATAATCCCCACCCCAACCCCCACTGATTTTTAATATGCTTACTGACAAAGGTGCAAAAATCAAATGATGACTATAAAAATCGCTCTCCCAAACCACAGTTGTCAATGAAGAACTGGCAGTAGTAAAATTATCCACCTGGAGGGTCAGAACAGATGCTAAACGTCCTCCCTAAGTTATGAAGGTTCCGTGTCATCTGATCACAATGGAGTGAGTCAGTGTCACCTTTTAAAACTAGCACGTTAGAAACCAACCAAACTACTCCCGCCAAACAAAAAGCTCTCACTTATCTCTACAGAAGAATTATTTGAAGAAAAGAATCCAAATTCCCAGTGCTATAATGAGAGGTTTGAGGAATATAGTCATATTTGGTGGAAATATTGAACAAAATCCAACGAAAACGTTGCCCATCATAAGCAAGTGAATAAAGTGCCTCCTTTTTGGGATTAGAAGATAGTGTGACCACGTGAAAGCACAAGGCAAGCTACAAGAGACCACCAACGACAGGAAGTATAGTGGTAATGCTTAAAACAGAGTTAATAGGAACTTTCCACCCACCCCAACCCTTTGCCCATCTACGCCATTGCACTAGACTTCACAGAGAGAATTTTATTGTCAATGCACAAGGGACACACAAGAAAAACCTAGACGTCCAAATGAAACAGTCTGAATTCACTTGACCGAAGGCCACTGCAGCCTTCCCCGCTGCCCTCAGAAGGAGCACATGCAGCCCTCTGTGTAGCCTTTCTCTCCGTGGGCTTTATCACGACATCAATTAACAACAAGAACACGAAACCCATCACAGTATGTCTGAACCTCCAGAATACTCAATTTCACAACATTTTTCAGACCACTAGGTCAGTAGCTTTCTTAAGGGATATTCAAAGTCTAGCGACCACCAGAGTATTTACATCAGAATGGCATCTTTCTGCCAAATGACCAGAAGTCATGATGCTCTATGTCATTTCTTAATTTATTACAGATACGGGCCTTATTTACATTCCTTCCCAACCCTTGCTATGAAAGCCTGTTCCCTACCCTCAAAAGAAACATTTTCCCAAGGATTCCATTTTTTAATTCCATTACAAGTAAGAATCCTGTTCCCATCCATGCAATATATCTAATATAAGACAGAAGCATCCCATTGTGAACTTGGACTGAATGTGCCAGAAAGATGCCAGAATATAAACTAAATCACTAATGGTCTGTGTTGGGCCCAACTGTGAATCTACTTATAAAAATATCACCAACTCCATGAATTAAACCTCAAAACACTGTGATTATAAATACTGACCACCAAATGTGAACATACATTTAAAACAGAGGACAGTTGATGATCTGATAGTCCAGACAAAGGAAGTATCTCCTTTAAAAATGAGAGAATTCAGTGATCCAGTTATTACCAAGCCAGCACACAAACTCCAAACAGCCAACCAGGAATGCAACAATCTGAGACATTATGGAAAAAAGACAATCATTTAAATATTAGGCTTCATGTTCCATTTTCCTCCCTGGATCCTGCTGCTTTAATCTTTAATAAAGTGATCAGAGCCTAGTAAATGGTTCTAGGGGTATGAATCAGAGTCAGAATTTGAAGTTTCCACATCACAAACCTGATCAGATCTTGGGCAAGTTGTGAACAGTATGGCCTCAGCTCCCCACTATTTTCCAAAACTTGTGGGAATATAAGGGCCTATTAAACAGTATGAAGGTAAAAAGTAGCCTAAAATATAACACAAAATTAAGTGACAGCAGGGATTTTGGACTACATCATACTATGTTGTAAGTGGCCGTCCTATGCATTCAGCAAGTTTAGCAACATCCCTTTCTTCTACCCACTAGTGCCGGCAGCACTTTGCCCTGAGTTATAACAACTGAGAATGTCTCCAGACATTGCCAAGTGTTCCCTGGGGGACAAAATCACCCCAGGTGAGAATCACCGTCTTCCAGAGAAATCTCTAATGTAAATTTCTACTTTGCACCCAGTGATCAGAATAGGTCATGGAAGAGGGTCATTGCTCTGCTGGAAAAGCAGGCAGAGAAGTTGAACTGTGAGGTAGAAAAGTCACATTAAACATCAGAAGTGAATGAAAACAGAGCAAAAATGTCAAACATAACTTCCTGGCAAAGTATATCTTCTACGCATCCATTTAGGTTTCCCTTTCGCCAAGATCCCTCTTTTAAAACAATAGCTAATATTTTCACTTCAGGTAAGAAAAGTGTTTCTGGTCCTCAATAATTTTCAGTTTGTAACCAGCAGCTGTCCACCGGCCACAGTTTGAGGAGCACTGTTCTGGAGTTCTAACTCCTCTTGAGAAGTATGGTTTATACACCTTCTGAACTCTTCAATGGTCAACGTTCACAAGCCAATTTATAAGGTTTTTGATTATCTTTTTTGTTCAAGAGGCAGAAAGAAAACTGATTTTACCACCTTTTGAAATAAAACTATGCTAAAAGGAAGAGGGATTTCTTTTAAAAGCCACTTTGGATACTTTAACACAAGACAGAATTAAGAAAGTGCCTTAAATAGCCTTAATCTCTAATATTTCCTGCTCTAGCCCCTTAAAGAAGTATAACCTCTTTTGTTAGAATAATTGTATAGCTACAAAGCGGGTAAAAAGCAGACTGGTTTTAAAAACCTGTTCTACTAACCTTCTCTTTCCCTCCAGAGGATCTTTTAAAAGGTAAACAATTTAGAAATATAACTTGTTTATATACGCTTACTCTCTCTCTCCAATTAAAGTTCTATTTATAAATGCAGTTAAAGAACATCAGCAGTGGCTACATTTCCAGGTTACACAGCAGTGGCTCTTGGAAATGGCTGGAAAAAGCAGGGGACCATTTTGAGTTTAGCCCAGATGACTTGTTTTATCATCATAAAACAGGTTATCCATGTGTGTAGAATTGTCAAATATCAAACCAGACAGGGAAACCACCCAGACCTGGGATCACAGGCTCCCTTCCCAGGGCTAACTTGACATTTAACTCAACAGGGCAAGTCAGAGGGCCATAAGGAGTCTTTCAGCTCATTTCCATGCTTGTCTGCACATAATACCTCCAGCCTTTAAAATTACAGTCTCAGATTTAGAAATTAGCTTTTACAATCATGTAGCCAGACAGCCCTGCTTGCTTTATATCAATGAAGCTTTCTCTTTAAAACTTCACCAGAAAATTAAAATACGGAATTCATCAGGAGAGGCTTGGCAGAGGCAAGATGGATCTCAAAACGTAATATACTCCTGCCCACCTTTTGAGAGAAAGAGGATGATGACAAAGGAATGCAGAGGATTCAGACAATGTGAGAAAAAGTATGAAGATTTTCTTCTCTTTTTCCAAACCAGAGTTTGGATGCACAGCAGGAAAAAACAGGAAGCCTCAGGGCCGGCTTGATTCACTCAGAAAGCTCTCAGAAACAAGGGCACCACACTAACAAGTCATTAGTCCTCTGAGTCAAAATCCAACCTCTGCCATGTCGTCTAACAAAAAAGCAAGATACTAACAGTGAAAGAATGTTCTTCTCAGGGTTCCACAAAACTGGACAAACGGTGGCTTTCAACCACAGAATGAGTAAAAGCAAATTTTAAAACCTCTTCCCCATCCATTGACTGCTACGTAAGTGTCTCTCGATCTGAGAAATAGGGCCGAATTTGTGGTCTGTCGTCAGATTCATCTCCGGCAGCATCGTTTTCCTCACCAGACTCCACATAGATGGGCCAGTCATTGTCTGTGTCGCTCCTTTCTTGGCTTTCGGACGAAGCCTCCACCAGGCTAAGGTTGATGGGTATCAAATCGTCCTCGTCATCATGTGTGTCTGTAATGCAGGTACAGCTGTCGCACAGCCCAAAGCGCCGCAGCCCCTGTGACAGGTGACTCGTGAAGGTTCTTCTGCAGCCCTTGCAGACGATTGGACGGTTGGATCTGTGGACCTAAAGTCCCAAGAAGACACAGTAAATGTCACAGAAAGGGGGTTGAGCCACGGTCTTCAAGGCCCCACATGATCTGGCCCCTGGCTGACCCTCCAGCCTCATCACGTCTCACCACTCTCCCCCTTGCTCTCTCTCACCAAGTCTCAGCCTCACCAAGGTCCTTTCCACCCCAGGGCCATTGGACACATGTGGAACGTGCCTTCCTCCCCATCGCCAACTCATTCCCCTACTAATGCCTTTGAAGGAAGTCTTCTCTGATGCCCCAGACCAGGTAGGTCCCCCAGCTATGTATTCTCGCCTATACTCTATCCTTTGCTGTATTTCTAACAAATCATTGGTAAAATTCACTAGACTGTAAGCTCCAAGAGGGCAGGGACTTCCTTACTCACATTCTCTCTCTTCTGTCACATGTGTTACTATATCCCTAGTCCCTGGCATATAAAAGGCACTCAGTGAACTGATTAGAATTTTAGGCATGGCTTATGTACCTTGGATTGGTCAGTTACTAGGAAGGCAGATTTGCTAGATAATGTATTCCCCAAATGTGCCAGCAGATGCTTCATCCTTGGCTTTTCTGTTGATAAATGCATTCCTTATTTATGAGAACTCTGCATACGAGGGAAGAAAGCCTGATCTCTTTTCAGCAGCTCCAGGGGTCCCCTCTGTATAAAGACCTCTCCTTCTAATGTATGCACTCTTCAGGAACTGCAGCCAACAGGGGATCTGTGAGCCAATCAGAGCCTCTCTTTTAGAGAGCTCTGGATGCAGGATACCCACAAGAGGCAGAGACACAGAGAAACTGGTGCAGAAGGGCCAGCAACACAATACCCAGGTTGCTGGAGCTGCCATTACATCCTGACCAGTGTCCCTCCTTTCCATGAGGTTTCCTGGGCTTCCTACACTGAACTCCCAACACTTGAGCCAACCTGAGTGTCTATCTGACCTTTGCAACCTGATAGGGCCTTTGAATACCACCTCTTTGGGCTGCCGTAGACTGGACTATGTATAATGTGGAAAGACAGAGGGAATGAGGATTCCAACCAATGAAACATCTTAGAGGTACCCAGGGACCTACTGCTTCCAAGACAGACTGAAAATATAATTTGAAACGAAAAGGAAAAAAAAGACAGACAAAAACTTAAGGGCTTAGGATGAGGCCATTCTCAGTGTGCTGGGGCGAGCACCGAGAGCAGAGGCAATCGGTAACGTCGTGCTTTATCTTAAATCTGGATTCTTTCAAAATCATAATTCACATATCATAAAATCCACCCTTTTAAAGTATACAATTCAGTGGTTTTTAGTATATTCACAAGGTTGTGCAACCGTCTAATTTCAGAACATTCTCATCACCCCATAAAGAAACCCTATACCCATTAACAGTCATCCTTCTCCCATTCCCACATCCTCCCAGCCCCTGGTACCCACTAATCCACTCTCTATCTCCATGGGTCTGCCCATTTTGTACATTTCATATAAATGGAATCATACAAAATGTGGCCTTTTGTGACTGGCTTCTTTCACTTAGCATAACGCTTTCAAGGTTCATCCATGGTGCAGCTTGTATCAGAACTTCATTCTGTTTTATGGCTGAATAACAGTCCATTATATGTATATACCACATTTTGTTTATTCTTTCATCAGTTGATGGACATTTGGGTTCTTTCCACTTTTTGGCTATTATGAATAATGCTGCTATGAACATTCAAGAGCAAGTTTTTGTGTGAATGTATGTTTTCAGCTCTCTTGGGTATATACCTAGATGTGGAATTGCTGGGTCCTATGGTAGCTTTATGCTTAAATTTTTGAGGAAATGCCAAACTGTTTTCCACAGGGACTGCGTTATTTTACATTCCCACCAGGAATGTATGAGGGTTCCAATTTCTCCACACCCTCACCAACACTTTGTTATTATTATTATTATTATTTGTGAGGAAGATTGGCCCTGAGCCAACATCCATACCAATCTTCCTTTACTTTGTATATGGGACGCTGCCACAGCTTGGCTTGATAAGAAGTGTGTAGGTCTGTGCCCGGGATCCAAACCTGCAAACCCTGGGCCACCGAGGCAGAACGTGGGAACTTAACCACTATGCCACCAGGCCAGCCCCAGTTATTATTTGTTTTTTGATTATAACACCCCTAGTGTGTGTGAAGTGGCATCTCACTGTGTCTTTGATTTGCATTTTCATAATGACTAATGATGTTGAGCATCTTTTCAGGTGGTTATTGGCCATTTGTATATCTTCTTTGGAGAAATGTCTATTCATATTCATTGTTTAGTTGAGTTGTCTTTTTATTGTTGAACTGTAAGAGTTCTTTATATATTCTGGTTACTAGATCCTTAGCAGATAAATGAATCACAAATATTTTCTCCCATTCTGTGGGTTGTCTTTTCACATTCTTGGTAGCATCCTTTGTGGTCCAATCACATGTTTATGTTGGATTTCCCAAAGACTGATTGACTTGCTCAAAGATGATCTTAAATGCAATGCCTTTCTAAACGGCCTAAATGCTTTTTAAGTTTGTGGGTATCACTCACTCACATGGGAGACAGAATCCTAGGGGGCAGCCAGTGGGAGGGGAGGTCCCCTTGGGCTGGGGCCCTCTTTGCTGCCCACAGGTAGCACTATAAATGGCAGTCTAGCCCTCCTCCACTCCCAGGTGCTGGGATGCTGGGTGGGAAACTAAGCATACAGCTTACCTTTGGCATCACACCGATGGGAACAGACCCCCAATCCCATGTCCAACCTCCAGTGTTCTCTGTCATATGACAACCATCCCTAACTAGGATCTAAACTTTCTTGACTCTTCTCCTAAGAAAACTAGTCTGTTACCATATAAATTCTCACTTTCTCTAAGTGCCACCAACCCAGCTTTAATTTAGTAATAGAAACATATGTTTAAAATTCTCTGAAAATACCCGACTGGACAGAGAAGTGAAAGACAGGCTGGCTTTATCCTCACATGAGACAAATATTATGAACCACCCCCTCCCACCACCCACCACGAGAAAATTGCCAGCCTAGACACTTACGCTCAGTGCATGGCTCCGCAGATGCTCCTGTCGAGTGAACCTCTTGCCACAGGTCTCACAGGGGTAGGGCCGCTCACCCGTGTGTGAGCGGATGTGCCGCTTGAGGATGCCCTTCTGTTTGGCAGCGTAAGGGCAGAAAGGACACTTGTGGAGCTTAATGGGGACCACCAGCACATCACCTGGGGAACCAAATGGATTGATTCAGTCATACCGTAAACAGCGACAATACCAGCCACCCTCCGACGGATGGGATCCGGAGCTGGGGAATTCCACCATCCAGATGGAGAGGGAGGGTATCAACCGCCAACTAACCGCAAGAGATTGTCTGCAAATTTCAACTGTGTCGGGCTCCCAATCAGCCAGAGGGTAAAGCAGGCTTCTGATATAAAGTTGCAAGGAATGCCATAAGGCACTGGCTTTAAGATTCTCTGTGACTCACAGTTAGGAACACAGCTTACACAACCACCTCAGAACACACGTGCCTTCATGTGGACAACTGGAAAAGCCTCCCAAAACAGGGCTCACTCTGATAGCATCTGTTCTACTTGATTTCATTTTAAGACGCTACTGATTGAGACCCTGCTATGGCCTGGATTGCTTCCCCCCCAAATTCAGACATTGAAGCCCTAACCTCTAATGGGACTGTATTTGGAAATAGGGCCTTTTAGGAGGTCGTTAGGGTAAATGAGGTCGTAATGGTAGAGCCCTAATCTGATAGGCCTGGTAGCCTTCCTTATAAGATGAAGAGATACCAGAGATCTCTCTCTCTCTCTCTGCTGGTGCACAGAGGAAAGACCACGCAAGGACCAGCAAGAAGGCAGGCATGTGCAAGCCAGGAAGAGAGCTCTCACGAGAAACCAACCCTGCTGGCACCTGATCTCGGACTCTGAGGCTCCAACACTGTGAGAAAATAAATTTCTATTGTTTAAGCTACCGAGTCTGTGATATTCTGTTATGGCAGCCTGAGCTGATGAATACAGACCTCCTGTCAAAGGAAGTGAATACAGATCCTCCAAAATTTGAAAACCTCTGTTAGGACGCAGCCGACCGGTGGACCAGGATTCATGCTTTCTGTGACAGTAGTTTCTAAGATGAGCTTCCAGGCATGTGTAGAAGAGGTTTGCTATCACGCAGACCCTAAACTGTTTGGAATTCATATTAACTCTATATATCAGACATCATCAAATATCTAGGAATTCACTTAAATTTTTTTCCAACTCCTTTTTTTTTTTTTACCTTGCTCATACAACCACTAAGGTGACAAAACGATTGTCATCCACATTTACAGAAACTATTCCTTTCCTTCAAATTTTCTGAGTTACCCTTATTGCAGTATTCCAAGATTTGCTCTTTCTATTCATGCCCTTCAGGATTTTACAGACTTTGTTCATATCATATCATCTATAAAGCCACTAGTGATCATACTTTCCAGGCACAGAAACCTGGGTTCAAGTCCTGGCTCTACCATTTACCAACTGTGTGACCCTGGACATCTCACTTAACTTCTCTGTGCTTTACTTTACTCATCTGTAAAATAGGGATGATAATAGTTCCCACCTTACAGGATTGGGGTAAGAATGAAAGGAAGTAATACATAAAATACAGCACCTGGCACACAGTGAGCTCTCGTAGATGTCAGCCATTTTGTCACCATCATCATCTCCTCGGTGTTTCTTTACTGATTAAGCAGGCCAGGATCTTGTGGTCTCTCTCAACACTGGAGACCACACTTGCGGTCTCTCTCACCTCCTTTTCTCTGGGACCTTCTCTGGACACCTAAATGGGCTTCGTCTTTCCTGAGGGGCTGCCAAAAAAGTCTGGCGAGCTGAACTCCAGGTGAGAACCCATCATTCTGTGTAAAGGTGGGGATGGTCGTCTTTGGTTTCCAGCTCCCATCCTGACAATGCCTAACACTCTGCCTAATCTATAGTGACTCCAAAACCTGTTTCCTAGAATAAAAGCAGCAGCTCACAGCTCATCCCTGCACACGTGTTGGATTATTTCTCACTGATCACACTGGTACCGAGACGCCAGGTCCCTACTCACTCCTCTGGCATTGTGGAATGTCACGGTCATTCATCCCCATCAGCCTGGCACTGTACTAAATCTTCTTCCCAACTACCTATAAAAACGGAATAAAATGGGTCCACTGTTAGTACTTGGAAAAACCAACTGTTAAGTATTTCTCCATCAGAAATGTATGAGTTATTGCAACACTCTGCTTCCTCTCTCATGATGTGATTCCCCACAACACAGCAGTTCACTTGAGTGCCTAATGCACCAGGGACTGTCAAGGTCCATCTTTACCAAGACACCTGTTTCCTCCCTCAAGAAGTTAAGTCTAGGAAGAGAGAAAGACACATAAACAAATTCATCTGATACAATGTAACACATGCAAAGTTCAAAGTGATGAAGAAATATAGACAAGAAAGTAATGAATTCTCTCTAGGAGTTCAGAGAAGATTTCATAGAAGAGGTGATCTTTGAGCAAGGTTTTGAAGGATGAGTAGGAGTTCACCAGAAGTCCAAGACAGAGAAAGATATCTCAGACAGAGGAACAACACATGCTTAGGCATAGAAGTAAATGAGACTATGGAATATAAAGTGGGCTGGAGGGGAATGAGGACTAGGAAGGGGCAGGAGCCAAACTGTAAAGGCCACTTTCATTCATTTATTGAACAAATTTATACTGAGCACCTACAATGTGTCAGGCTATGTTCTAGGCCCTGGGGATACAGCAGTGAAAAGACAAACATCCCTGCCTCTGTGCGCTGACATGATAAGCAATAAGGACTTTATTCCATAAGCAGCCAGGATGTCAAGCAGGGGAAGTACATGGTCAGATCTGACTTTTGAAAGATCCCTCTGGGGACAAGACAAGGGAAGGATTTAAGAGAGAGGTGAGATTAAAGGCAGGAAGTCCAGGTGGGAGGGGTGAGAGATGACATGAACTAAAGCAGTGGCCGTGCAGGTGGAGGGGAGGAGATACATTTGAGAGAAGTTAAATCAACAGGATTTGGGGCCGGCCCCATGGCCGAGTGGTTAAGTTCGCGTGCTCTGCTTCAGCAGCCCAGGGTTTCGCCAGTTCGAATCCTGGGCGTGGACATGGACCGCTCATCAAGCCATGCTGAAGCGGCATCCCACATGCCACAACTAGAAGTACCCACAACTAAAAAAAAAAAAATACACAGCAACGTACTGGAGAGCTTTGGGACAAAAAGGAAAAAAAAAAATTAACAGGACTCTATGACCACGTGGGGGAAGGGAGAGAAGGGAAAGATAAGATTTTAAGTGACACAGATTCTGGGTTAGCTGACTTGATGGATGATGGTGGAATAAACTGAGGCAGGGAACACAGGAGGAAAGGCAAGTACAGGAGGAATGACGAAAAAATACTAATGTCCAATCCCCGTCCCAAGCATCATAATTTTTTCTATTGCGGTAACATTGGTCTACAACATTATACAAATTTCAGCTGTACATCATTATATTCCAATTTCTGTATAGACTACATCATGTTCACCACCCAAAGACTAATTACAATCCATCACCACACACACAAGCATCATTTTTTTTTAAGATTTTATTTTTCCTTTTTCTCCCCAAAGGCCCCCCGTACATAGTTGTGTATTTTCAGTTGTGGGTCCTTCCAGTTGTGGTGTGTGGGCCACTGCCCCAGCATGGCTTGAGGAACAGTGCCATGTCCGCGCCCAGGATTCAAACTGGCGAAACCCTGGGCTGCCAAAGCAGAGCGCACGAACTTAACCACTCGGCCACGGGGCCGGCCCCAAGCATCATGTTTTTAAAGCACCCTTCCCATTCTAATGTACAGTCAGGGATGAGAATCACGGCCCCATATCTAGATACTGCCAATAACTGTATTCACTCCATAACCCACATTTCAAGCATCCATTTACCAATCAACATCTCATATCTTTCCAGCTCATCCCAAATGTCCCTTCTCTGCTAGGACCTCCAAGCCATGGACTATATCACCACTTTACTGCCCTCCCCACCGCCTTCCCCAGTTTACTGCCTATGGTCCATCAATGAAATCACTCCTTTGCATAGACCCTCAACTGCCTCGGTCCTCTCTCTCCCTCTATCTGCATTCACCTGGTTAAAACTAAACTCTGGTTAAACACAACTCTGCCTATTCCAAACCTGAAAGAAGGTAAGTTAACATCACTGGAGAAAAATACACAACTGCGTGTTCCGGTCTCACTTTACATCCATCCAACCATCACACCTGACCACTGATATCAAAAGAGCCCTTGGTTCTGCCCAGGCATCCTAACTGTTCCCCTGTCATTCAGGCTCCCACTCTTCTCCTTGACTGTTTCACGTCTTCCTTCTGCTCAAACCTCCAACCCCCTCCTCACTTTCAGCTGCTGTCTTGCTTCTTATGTCTTTGAGAAGGAGAAACAACCAGAAGAGAACGTCTACCTTCTCCCAGCCATCCCCCAACCTCCTGTGCGAACACATATGATCTGCTTTCACTTCTATTACTATGAGTGAATTGTCCTTCGTCCTTCCCAAGGTGAGACTGTCCTCTCCACTTGTACACAGCATCCCATTTCCCCTTGCTCTATCAACTGCCCCTCTCTCTTCCATCAGCAATTATCCTCCTCTCTCCCGGACCATTCCCATCAGTAAATAAACTTGCTTTTAGATCCTCTGCCTTAATAAAAACCTTGACCTAAAATCCACCTTCAGCCACCAATGCATCTCTCTGTTCTCTTCACAGCAAAATTCTTTGAAAGAAGCATCTGGACCCACTATCTTCACATCTACTTCTGCAGTTCTCTTTCAAGCCTTCCCCATCCAGGCTTTTGCCCCACCACTTATTGATACTGCTCTTAAGCTCATCAATGACCTCTCCAATATTAAACCCAGTGATCAGTTCTCAAAGTGCCTGTATGCAGTATTGGACATTGTTGATTTCTCCTTTTTCTTCAAACACTTTTTCTTCTTGGCACCCATCGCTCTTTCTTGATTCTCCTCCTACCTCACTGGCTGTCCTTTCTCAGTCTCCTTTGCTGGCTTCTATTTTCCTGACCTCTAAATGTTGGAGTTCCCCAGGGCTCAGTCCTTAGATCTCTTATCTTCTCCTTCTAGATCTATAAGTTCCTGGAATATAGAGGTTTTGAATTCCACGGACCCACTAATGACTCCCAAATTTATATCTCAGCTCTGACTTCTCCCCAGAACTCCAAACTTACAGATGCAATGGCTTACCAAACATCTCCACTTGGATATCCAATAGGCATCACAAACATAACATGTTTAAATCAATTGCTTAAGCTAAAAACCTTAGGGTCATCCTTAGCTCCTCACTTTCTTATACCATTCATGTAAGCCATGAGCAGGTCTGGTCGGCTCTACCTTTGAGAGGCACTATAGTCCTGATCCAACCACTTCTCACCTCTCTGCTGCTGCCACGCTGATTCAGGGAGCGCATCTCTCCCCTGGGTTATTGCAGTAACTCCGAAGTGATTCCTCCTGCAAGGGCAGAAGCAAGAGGACCACTTAGGAAGTTACTGCACACAGTACCCAGAGGGATCCTTGTAATATATGTCATTTCAAGTCACTCTCTGCTGAGACCCTGTAGTGGCTTCCCTTCTCAGAGTGATATCAAACGGTCTTCTCATGGCCTTCAAGGACCTCACCCAAACTCTCTGACCTCATCCTGTAACACTCTCTGCCTTGCTCACTGCACGCCAGCCACCCCAGAATCCTTGCTGTTCCTTTAGCTCACTCGCCAAGTGTGATCCTATACCCGGGCCTTTGCGCCTTGCTCTTCCCTCTGCCTGGAATGTTCTTCTCCCTGATACCAGCACAGTTTGCTCTCTTACTCCCTTGAGGTTTAAGGAAGGCCTTCCTGGTCAACAGTAAATACAATACCATCCCCTTCACTCTCTATCAAGCTTTCCCTGCTTTTAGTTCTTCTTCATACTATATATTTACTTATTTCTCTATTGTCTGTCTCCCTACACTAGAATGTCAGCTCTACGAAGACAAGGACCGTCTTTTGTTCACTGTGATTAACCATGTCTGGTATGTAGTAAGTGCTCAATAAATATCTGTTAAATAAATGAACAAACAGGAATGATAAGATGTTGAAGGAGCAAGCCAAGGATGGAATGCTGGACACACTGACATTAAATAACCCCATGATGAGGCTGAAAAGGAATGGGCAGAGGGAAGAGCTGTGGATACTCGTGATGTCAGAAGCCAGGGGAAGAAAGAATTTCAAAAAAGAGAGAAAGGTCAGAGTCAACTACTAAGAAAAGTCAAGTGAGATAACACTGGAAAACCACTCATTGGAACAGCTCTAGAAATGCATAGCCGACCTCATGACTGTGGTTTCAGTGGTGCGTAGGGGGCAGAAGGCAGACCGCTGCGGGCTGAGAACAGAGTAGGAAGCAAGACAGTGGAGGCAGCCAATGTGGATGAACTCTCCAAGAAGCAACGGGAGGTGCTGGAGCTGGGGTTGGGAGGTCTCGGGGAACAATGACAGGAGCACCCTCTGCTTTGACAGTGTCTGCTAATGTCAGCGATGAGCAACACGGACAGCGAACTCTTGCAGCAGCCTCGGATGGTCTCCCTGCCCTGGTCTCCCATCTCCGCACCATCTTGCGCTGAGGCCAAGTTCATCTCCCTGAAGCACAGATCCTGTCTACTCCTAAGCTCAGAAACTACGCAAAATATCCCCATGCCTACAGATGAAAGCTTACCTGTTAGCATTTAAGATTTCCCATGATCTGACTCCTATCAATTTCTATCAATGTCTCCTTTTCTTACCCTCAGAAGCCAGTTTCATAAAGTCCCCTCCTATCTCCCAGGGTTTAGAAGCCGGTTCTCCTGCTTTGGGGCTACTCTGAAACTCACATCTCCGTCTGTCTCCCAGCCCTGGTACCTTTCCACCATGTGCTGCCAATTACACACATCCTGTCTCCTCTAAGACACCATCAGTTTGAGGGCTGGATTCATGTCTGACTTATCTTTGTATCTTCACAAGGAAGCTGCTTAATAGTTGAGCAAATAAGTGAATGACCAAACAAATCAGTCCTAATCTGTGCCGTGGCACTTGGAATAAATTTACCCTGAAGCCATGTGAATGGAATCAAAACCTGGCAGACAACAGACATGGCCAGGGGCCACGGTGGCTGCCTTGCCACAGCCACCTATGGTCGGAAACCTGACTTTACACACTGACAGACCGGACGTGAATGAAGATGGCACAGAGCTGAATTACTATTTCCTGATACTTGTACTGACAGGCAGAGGGGCTGAAAGGTAAAATCATTGCACCGAAATCCTCTATCCACGTGGGCTGCCTTTACAGTTTGTTTAATGAATGAAATAAGCCCAGGTTTCCAGGGTTAACTGCACCACTTACCAGCTCTGCAATCTTAGGGACTTCACTAAACCCATCTGGGTTTCAGTTTCTCCACACTTCCTCTGACAAATTCATGGGGCGTGACAACACCTAATGGACGTGAAAGGGCAGTCACAGTCTGAAAGTGCTATTACATACACGGAAATGAGATTTCAACAAATTCCCATAGTGTGTTCACTGAAACAGCCACTACCTTCTAATCGCTGGTTAAGCCAGTGTCTCTGAGGACCAGAAACAGCATTTTCCAGTTTTTCAAGTCCAGATTTAATCAGACATACAGAACATTCTTGCTTAAAAAAAAATGAAATTAAAAAGTCTCAAGACAGCCATTTAGTAACAAATAACAGCAGCTGATCTCCTCTGATGTAAAAACTTTCACTATTCAAAACTGAAGGGTGAATTAGAAATGTGATTCATTTATTTCTTGGCTTGAGGTTCTGGAAGCTACACGGTACGTTTATTAGCCATGTTTATTTCTGTCTCCTATAAGACACTTTATAACACAATTACTTCACCTGTTAAGAGAGTTAACCATGTTAACTCATCTCTCAGAATCGTTCAGGGAAACAACCAAGTTCTCCTAGAACAGAAAAGCCTACCAAAGGATATAAGAAATTTACTCATATGAAGCCAAATGCCAACTCTCAAATATTCTCAAGTAGATAGCACCGTCAACCACAACATGTTAACTGAGTGTCTACTATGTGCTAGACACCATGGTTGACACAAAGAAGTATAAATTTCCTACCTGTCTAGACCATGTTATCATACATGAGAAAAAATTCTGAAAACCTTCCATTTGGTCCTCAACCCTGTGAGAAAGGCAACTCAGGGATGATTATCTCCTGAACAAAACAGGTTCAAAGAGATGTAATGATTTAACCAAAGTTCCACTGCTGTTAGTGGAAGACAGTAGATTATTTTTATGTCTTCAAACTGCCCTCAACACCATTATACTCTAGTTGTAAAGGTAAAAATACTAAGATATGCAAAGAGACAATGCCCTGGACACAGCAGGTGCTCAATTAACACCTATTGGTGGTGGTGGTGGTGGTGGTGGTGGTGGTGGTGGTGGTGGTAATATGTTGATGATGGTGGTGGCGATCTCGTGAGGATGATGGTGGTAATGATGATGGTAGTGACAATGACAATGATCATGCTCATGATGGTGGGAGACTATAAGGCACAGATGTGTGTGCTAAATGACCAGCAGAGATGATGAGTGCTAATGGAGCTCACCTGAGTCCTCTCCATACCAATCAGTCTGGACATCCATCATGGAACTCATGGCTCCTCCTGCACCATCTGGTCTTCCCTCCAAACTCCGAGAAAAGCCATGGTCCACATCATCTTTGCTCTGGACAGCACTGTTGTGCAAAAGTGCCTCCAGGAATTGCTTCACATGGTAGTTACTGTAAGCCAAGTCGACGGCCTGGCCACTGGATAAACCCTCCTCCATGTGGGCCAGGCCCAGTGGGGCAGCATATTGCTGCAGCCTTTCACCAACCTCCACCTCTACTTCATCAGCATCAAACTCCACCTTGGGCTCTATCTGTTTGCGCAAAGTAGAGAGGTCACTGTCAGCTGAGCTACTGCCCTGGCTGTCTTTCGCCACCAGTTCTAGGGGGTGGCAACCTCTGCAGTCACCACAAGGGGACTCTCTTGGACAGTCCACACTCTCCACTAGAGAGGAGACCAAGCTCTTGGTATCACAGGAGGTCCCTTCTCTGCCTGAACTGGGGCTTCCACTGTCAACCTGGTGAGCTGCTGCCGCAGCTGCAGCCGCCGCCGCTGCAGCCGCTGCCGCCACCGCTGCAGCCACCGCTGCCTCCTTCTCCATCTTTCGGCAGATATCAAGGGACGACCTGATGTAGGTCTTGCAGAAGTTCACCACATCGTTCATCTGCAGGTAGCTGGCAGCCGACATAACTTCAATCACATTCTCCCCACACAAATCCAACTTCCCAGAATAGAGAAAATCTAAGATGGTGGAGAAGGCGTCGGAGGTGACAATGTCCAAGGAGGCAGTGCTGTGCCGCCCGCTGTCCTGGATATAGTGAATGAGCAGGGCTCTGAAGTAGCCGCTGTTGGCAAACAAGATGTTCCTGTGGGCCTTGAATATCCGCCCTTCCACGATGATGCTACAGTCACAGAAAAAGTCCCTCTTTCGCTGTTCATTCAACTCCCCCAAGAGCTTGGCATAATAGGATTGCATCTCCATTTCTCCACCAGGTGCTGCTGTTCTGCGGTAGCCTGTAACTCTGCCAAGATTTTTTTCAAGTTAATTCACAAATCCCAACTTTACAAATAAGATGCTCATTTTTAATTAAAAAAAAATTCTTCCAAACACATGGGTCAATGGTGTCTTTATGATATGGGCTGTTTTGGAGCTACAAAAATTAGAGGTTGTCCAACTGGGTTAATTTACGAAAAACAACAAAAATAACTAGAGCTAACTGCACTCCTGTATGTAGTGGTTTATATGGATTCTTTCAATGAATTTTTATAAAAACCCTAGGATAAAACATTAATATTGTCCCCATTTGTCTGATAAGGAAATTGAGACTCAGAGAAGATAGGAGAGGACCCAGCTGTACCAGAGCCAAGACTCAACACCAGGTCTATGAACCTCCAGAGTTCGTGCTCTTATGCACTACACTCTACTTTCTTGAAGCCTCAAAATATAGATAATACCCAAATCTAAGAATTACTGTTTAGTCTCCGGGCTCCTGATACAGAAGTTAGAGACTGGCAAGTGCAATCTCAGCTCACACCTCTTATCATCACTTTGTGGAAAAATTTGGTGGATTCTTGGGCTAGCCAGGACACATTCACCATTCTTACGGGGTTTAGCACACTTTTCGTCTTGGTGGAACCACCCATCCCCCATTCTTGGCCCACGTGCTTTGCATCATGCTGGTACCATCCCCAGGTTCCAGGTGTGTAAGATGTAACACAGGCCACCCTCTGATCACAGCGATTGGCTCAGAGATGGCCATGTGGCTTGGTCAGAGCCAATGAAAAGTCATGAAACGTTTGCTGGGGGTTCCAAAAAAGAGCAGTCTTTGCTCTGTGGGCCTGTGGGATGTGAGGAATGCCGCTGCCACACCTCCAGGGGAACCAGCCTAACAAGGATGACAGCCCAGCTCAGGCAGGAGCAACAGACAGAGCCCCGGGGATAGCATCTGAGCCCCAACTCATGCTGCGCTAGACGCCACTTAAGTCCCTTCCTGCTTTAGCTGGTCTGAGTTGGGTTTTCTATCTCTTGCAGTTGAGAGACTCCTAACTGATTGATGCCACCACCTCTGGTTTACTCCTCCGTATTTTTATGTCCCGGCCCTTGTCTGTCAGTCACTCCTTTGAAGGAATCAGCCATGCCTTATTTCATTTGATATGCCCCACAGCACCTGGCAGAGTGCTTTGGATAAAGTAGGTTTGCTAAGTACAAAGGAATACTTTTTTTTGTTTTTTTTTTTTGTTTTTTTGTTTTTTTTAAAGATTTTATTTTTTCCTTTTTCTCCCCAAAGCCCCCCGGTACATAGTTGTGTATTCTTCGTTGTGGGTTCTTCTAGTTGTGGCATGTGGGACGCTGCCTCAGCGTGGTCTGATGAGCAGTGCCATGTCCGCGCCCAGGATTCGAACCAACGAAACACTGGGCCGCCTGCAGCGGAGCGCGCGAACTTAACCACTCGGCCACCGGGCCAGCCCCCAAAGGAATACTTTCTTAACTGCTAAGTAAAACAAGTATAAATCAAGTTTAAAATCCTTCTGTTAGTGAGGAAGACAGGCACTGACCTTCTTCCCGGGCTCTCTCCTCCATCTTTTCCTGTCATACCACCCACACAGCCATCCACCAACTACCCCTTTTACATACTGACCCATTGAGCTCAGAGAAGTTTCTACAACCAAGTACATCATTTCCCTCTATTGGAATCACGAAACACCTAGTTAGAGCTGCCAACCACGGCTAACTACTCTTTAGCACGCTTCCTTTCTACAAATGGAGCACCAACAATACCCCACCCCCGCAGAAAACAGGCATCCCCTGCCCCCAAAAGCGTCCTTCCATGGGCAAAATAGATTCCCCAAGGCCTGTGTACTAACTGCATGAATTTTACCCATAAAAGACCCACAACAACCTTACTGAACGGCAGGTTACACCTATTTAATACGTACAGTATTTCTAACAAGTGATGCATTAAGTTTAGACGGGTGAGAACCAATTAGGGAGAGAAGTGGAGAGTGAACCTGCCTCATAATAAACTCACCCCAATTTTGATTTATAGATTGATTATGGATTATTTATGTTGACAAGTAGATATTATCACGTTGAAAAATGTGATTTTACCAGTCTGATAGTTTTTCTTTCGTTCTGAGGAAGGATAGAATGTGACATTTAAATGTAGCATTTTCCTGTATCTTGATTTTCCCTTAATATTTTGATTGCCAAAGGCAGTAGTAGCAACTGCTGGGGAGGCTTGATTGGAGCAGCTGGAAGAGGGGAGAATGGCGGTGAAAGCTTAGTCCTGGGAAAACTTTCAGGGTTGATTTATTTGGGAATAGTAGAACTTTTTGGATATCTGACAGCTCTCTTCCTTGCAGAACCAAAATGTTTTTACCTACTTTGGATGAAAAATTTTCCAAAATTATGACATAACTTCCTTGAATTAGAAAGGAGCATAAAAAGATAAGAATCTTCTTGATGACTTAGGCCCATCAGTTATAGCCCTGGGCTATGATTTAGTGATGTCCTTAGGCCATTTTGAATACTAGGACCATTTAATATCTTTAGCTAAATGGCCTCAGGCTGATATTTCGAAAAAATTCCTAGGTCTATTTTTTAAATAATCTAATACCTTTTCCTAGTTGTCCTCACTTTTAAGATTGTCGGTTTGCTTGCTTATCCTTAAGGGAATGCCGATAAGGGGGAAGATACATCCTTATCTTTAAGGGCATCATTCTTGCCTTTGAGGCACTGTAAACGTTTAAAGCAGATGTACAATGCATGCTCAACAGGCCACGTCAGGCCCTTTTGGAAAAACAAGGTCAGGTCAAATTAGTTTTAAATCACATGGCTTCCTCATATACTCCAATATATCCTACTGCTTTTCATTTATTTATCACACTGCTGATGGGAATGTAGTTTGGAACACCATTTTAGAGGGGAATTTGGCAATATTTATCAAAACTTAAAAGATACACATCTTTTGCCCCAGAAATATCATTGCTAAAAATTTACCCTTTTGGATGTATTTGCAAAAATACATCAAACTGTAAATTCAGAGATGTCCATTGCATGAGATTTTTGTACTAGCACAAAAGTAGAAACAATCTGAATGTCCACAATAGGGGACAAGTTAAATCAATGAGGTACATTCACAAGTGGAACACTATGCAACTACGTTTTTAATGAGCTAGAGCTCTGTGTGGTCATATGAAAAGGTCACCAAGATATATTAAGAGAAAAAAGGCAAGATGCAAGACCAAATATACAGTATGATCCCATCTGTGTATATGTTTCTGCTGGTGTACGTGTGAATTTTTTTCTAGAAGGTTAACAAGCAAGAGTTAACAGCAGATATCCTTGAAGAAAGGAACTAGGAGTAAGAGGTGTGTGGAGGGACCTTCACTTTTCATTTTCAACCTTTCTGTGCTGTTATGATATTTTACTATGTGCATGTATGGCTCTTTTTTTTTCCTTTTTAACAAAAAATAAAAAGGAGGAGAGGCAGAGGAGTAATGAGTTAGCAAACTAGGGAAACAAATGTCTAAGTAGGCACAACACTTCTTTCTTTTTTCTTTTCTTTAACGGTATGCTTTTTTTGGTGAGGAAGATTGGCCCTGAGCTAATAACTGTTGCCAATCTTCCTCTTTTTTTCTCTTCCCAAAGCCCCAGTGCACAGTTGTATATCTTAGTTGTAGGTCCTTCTAGTTATTCTATGTGGGACGCCACCTCAGCATGGCTTGACAAGCAGTGATAGGTCTGCACCCAGGATCCGAACCAGTAAACCCAGGGCCGCAGAAGCAGAGCACTCGAACTTAACCACTACACGACCAGGCCAGCCCAGCACAACACTCTTAACTTGCAGAACAGTCTTATCTACAGGGTCTCGTCCTAGGGCACTCGCATTTTTCACTGGAAAATGCTCCTTTCCAGCAATAGCACCCCAAACTGATTTCCTTTGGCTTTCTTTCTGCAAATACTCCAGATTCTACTGGGTCATGTAAAAATACTCCCTAACTTTGCAAAAAGGCTATCCACATACTTTCTTCACACCTTTTCCCAATCCTGCATTTGATACATAACATGGAAATATTCATTCACATCAAGTCTGCTTGCCTCTGGGCTCTGCAGCCTTTACCCACACTCTGGCAGGGACCCTGCCAGCCTTCCCACAGTTCCAATTCAATTCAACAGTTACTGGCTACATACAATGCCTGACACAAGGAAGATGCCAGGAATAGAAAAATAAACCAAGTATAGTGTATGTCCTCCAGGAGAGGGCAGATGCCAACACTACCACTTGCAATAAACTCTCACATTCCCCCGAGGGAATCTTAGCCAGATCACAAGGCTGTCTTCATACAGGCGCCAAAAGCAGCCTTGAATTCTACCCACTCTTTCTGACAAGACTCCTCCAGTCTCACCAACCTGAGAATAATGAAAATCTACTCAGTTGTCAGCATCTACTAAGCACTACTCCTCAGGAAGCACTGTCCCAAGTACTTTCAAGTGTTAATTAATTTTAACCCCACAATAACCCAGTGCAGTCGATACGATCATTACATCCTCTTTTTCAGAGAAGGAAATTGAGGTTCAAATTTACAGATAACACGCCCAAGCTAGGATTGCAACTGAGATGTTTGATCACAAAGTTGACTTCCTTAACCACTATGCCAACCAGACTCCCCAAACCCTCCAGGACACAGTGAGAAGGGTTGGGGATGTCACTCCGTTCCCCAGCGCATGGAGTGGAGGTGAACGACAAGGGAGAATTTCCATCTCCACAGAAAGAATTTCAGGGTCATTTGCATCTTTGCTTCACCTGCTAAATTGTTCGCAAGACAAGGGGATCCTCCCCCGTCCAGAGCCAGACGACGCTGAGAAGATCACAGGAACCAGTTACTGGAGATGGTCTTTGGCTCCCGAGGGTGGGGAACCGAGGCCTTGCCCCTCCCATGGCCTCCCGTGGACAAAGTGACCATTGCTGCGGCGGGCATTGCCCCAGCCTGGCCGAGCCCTCGCACCCGGCACCATCAGAATGAGCTGGTGCGGGGACCACCTGGCTGGACCACGCGGGGGCAGGGGACCAACCCAACGCCAGGGAAGTGGGGGGCATCTGCCGCCGCGCTACCCCTCCCCACGCTGGACGGCAGGGAGGGGGTCGGTCATCCAGCACTGGTTCTCTCGGCGGGGGTCCCCAGAGTCCGAGGGAGGTCGACAGAAAGGGGGCATCCCTGCCCGCTGCCCCCTGGGCCGACCTCCCTGGATGCCCTGAATCCGCCCCAAACCAATGAAAGCGTCAGCGTGAACCCGCTTCTCAGCTCTCACCTTCCAGCGGGTTCCAGCCGCGCCGCCGCCGAGCAACACGCACCGACACGCCCCCCTTTCATTCACCTGTCGCCCCCTCCGATGAGAGGCGGGGCAGCTGACCAATCATGGGGGTTTCTGGGCTCAGGAAGGCGGGCCCTTCGGCCAGCAGGTTAGTCAATGGTGCTCGCCCCCCCTCCCGAGGATGCGCTCTGAAGGCTCCAGCGCTCGCGGGGTGATGGGAGTTGTAGTCTCAGCGTTCGTTTTTCCGACAACGATATACTGAACAAAACTACAAGTACCAAGATGCCAAAAGGGACAAGAATCAGCGCTTGTAAAAGCTGGAGCTTGGTTCGGTCTTCTGAGCCCCACTTGAGGGACCTGCGAAGTATTAGTCTCTTTGTCCGCATGACTAAAAGCGCGTCGTGCATCTTAATGCAATAAGAGCTATGACTTATCAGTCCGCACACATTTTACTTGCCAGAACTCTCCGCAAAAAATCCAGAAACCAGTGAAAGGGTTTAATCTACTCAACAGGTTTTGACTGAACACTCGCAATACTCTCTTTCCTTGAGAGGTTTTCAGGTTTATAAACACAAGTGAAACAATTAAATAGCGCTACAAGGTGCTGAGTAACAGTCCATATAGGCACGTTCTGGGACGCTGTGCACAAGCCAAACCGGGTTACCTCTCAGGGAGCTTAGTTCTAATGAGGGGTGCATCAGTTTGCTAGAGCTGCTGTAACAAAGTGCCACAAACTAGCTGAAACAACAGAAATTTATTGTCTCACAATTCTGAAGGCTGGAAGTCCAAAATCAAGGTGTTGGCGGGGTTGGTTCCTTCTGAGCACTCCAGGCCTCTCCTTGGCTTGTAGATAGCCATCTCCCCGTTCACGTGGCATTCTCCCTGTACACTTCTCTGTATCCAGATTTCCCCCTTTTTTTTTTTTTTTTTTAAGATTTTATTTTTTCCTTTTTCTCCCCAAAGCCCCCCGGTACATAGTTGTGTATTCTTCGTTGTGGGTTCTTCTAGTTGTGGCATGTGGGACGCTGCCTCAGCGTGGTCTGATGAGCAGTGCCACGTCCGCGCCCAGGATTTGAACTAACGAAACACTGGGCCGCCTGCTACGGAGTGCGCGAACTTAACCACTCGGCCACGGGGCCAGCCCCCAGATTTCCCCTTTTTATAAGGATACCAGTCATATTGGATTAGGGGTTCATTCTTCTCCAGTAGACCTCATCTTAATGAATTACACCAGCAACAATTCTGTTTCTAAATAAGGTCACATTCTGAGGTACTGAGGGTTAGGACTTCAACATAGGAATTCGGGGAGGGGGGCACACTTCAATCCATAACAGGGGAAGATGGCCAATAAATAAATAAACAACTAAAAAAAAAGAAAATACATGAAATGTCTGGCAAAGAATTAAAACAAGGTGGTGAAGAAACAAAGTGATTTAGTGGTTATGTTAGCTTGAGGGTCAGGGATGACCCCTCTCAGTGGGTGACCTTTCAAGTGAGACCCTAATGAGGAGGAATGAGCCATGCTAAGATTAAACAGAAGAGCATTCCGGGCAGAGGAAGAGCTGGTGCAAAGGCTCTAAAACAGATTGGTATGTGTGGAAGAAACAGGAGAACGACCACTGGGGTGAGGGGGTGGATAACAGGCAGACCAGCTTGATGGGCATGCAACCTGCACAGTTGCACAGAACCCTGCACTCAGAAGGGCCCCATGCTTAGTTTAATGTTCTGCTGTAACCCTCTTGCAATTCTTAATTATTTTTGAACAAAGAGACTTCTACATTTTCATTTTGTACTGGGCCCCACAAATTATGTAGCCCAGTCTAGGTGACAGGAAATGTGAATGGATAGAGAGGCAGAGGCCACATCACAAAGGAATTTGTAGGTCAAGTGAAGAGGGTTGGATTTTTTTTTTTAAGTGGTGAGATGCCTTTGAAGGATCTTAAGCAGGGGAGAGATAGAACAGTAGTGGTCCCAGTGGAAGATGCTGATAGCTGGGGTTAGGGTCACCTCGAGGTGATAGAGTTGGAGAAGGTTGGTTTAGAATATATTTTAGGGGCTGGCCCCTTGGCCGAGTGGTTAAGTTTGCGCGCTCCGCTGCAGGCGGCCCAGTGTTTCGTTGGTTCGGATCCTGGGCACGGACATGGCACTGCTCATCAAACCACGCTGAGGCAGCGTCCCACAAGCCACAACTAGAAGGACCCTCAAAGAAGAATATACAACTATGTACCCGGGGGCTTTGGGGAGAAAAAAGAAAAAAATAAAATCTTAAAAAAAAAGAATATATTTTAGAGCTTGTCAAAGACTAAACTGCAGTTTACTCTAAAGATAACTTAGATAATTTAGATAAAGGTAATTTAGGAGGTAACATGTGAGCCAAACACCACTGTACGGTCCACCAAAGGAAAGCAGTTTACTCATCTCTTTCAAAGCCAGATACCCAGAGAGAGAAAACAGCATTCATATCTTTACTCTCAGTAAACTGCCACCCAGTTCTCAATGTCTAGCTCAGGTCCCAGGGACGCTTGATCCTCATGGCGGTGGAGAAGTCATCAGGAGTAAGGAGATTAATTCCATGGATTAATTCCACATTTTCTGCATCTAGGATCCAAATTTAAGATATCGAATTTCATGACTGTGGCACATGTGCCCTGTGCTAGATAACTTGGTAACATTGCAGACTGCTAAAATAAATGGGCTTTTTAGGGTGGCCTGAGTAGGGGACATCCCTAGTAACTGGGCATAGGGGGTATTCTTATGATCTCTAGATTTGATCTAGTCTGTTGTGGGGCTCATTATCTCCATGCAGACCAAGGAAACCTTTGGTATTAAATGCCCTCAACCTTGGTATATCATTCAGGGTTCACTTGTAGGAAGCAGAAACCGCCCTGGCTAGTTTTTTGGTTTTTTTTTTTTTTTGGAAAAGATTCATACAAGGAATTAGGTGATACAAATTACCGTGAAGCCTAGAGAAGTCGACCCTGTAGGAATGACTCCAAACTCTCCCACCTGGGTAGCTGTGATCTTTGCTGCAATCAGAAAAGAGAGAAGTCAGGAGGCGACCACCGTAGCTGTGGAGTTCAGCAATCCTGTGCAACCACTGTGGCTGTAATCCAGGGATCAGGAAGTCACCACCACCATTGCTCCCTCCAAAACAGCCTCTCGTGGCTGGTGACTGGTACCTTGGAACCCTGGCACAGAAACTCCTCACACCTCCACTGCCGAGCTTACCATTAGCAACAATGAGCAGGAAGATGCCCCCACCTCACTTTCGTCTTCCAAATGGGTGTTTTAGCTTTCTAGTTTTTGCAGCACAGGAATGGAAACTAAAAGGAGGCGGAAAAGGATGCTGAGTGACAATCAACAATATCCAGCACACCCAGCACCATGAATGGCATAGCACCGTGATCGTGAAGCTAAAACCTAGGAGTTCTAGAGCAAAAATATAGACTTAAAAACTCCCAAATGATTATTTCCTAGAGGACAATTGACCCTATCTTCCCAAAGGAATATTAGAAACTGATGCTGCTGGCACCATTTCTTTCGCTTCCCTATTCCTTAATCATTTTGATTTAAAAGGTATTAGGATATTTTGAGCTGCTGATTGTTACTAGTTTCTACCACACCAGAGCAATTGATTTAAGTATCAGCGTGGAGCCCCCTCTTTGGTAGCTAACAAGATATTGAGCACCGTCTGATGTTGGGAGACTGCTTCTGCCAAGAAGTTGACCTCTTTCTTGAATGCTACAAAGGGTACATTCATGAAAACCTCTAGTGGTTAGAGACAAATTGTGAATACCCACAGGGTGTCTTTTGCTCTATAAGAAAGGAAAAAGCAAATCCCTGCGCCTAACATCAGGATGTATTCTGGCCTGATGGTGCCCTGTAGAAGCACTTGCTCCAGCTGGGTGGAGGGACAGTGTCATGATGCTGGCTGGCTCCGAGTAACTAATGGTGCAAGTGCCTGGCCCAGGATAGGACACTGTAGACTTATTCCTCAGTGAACCACAATACTCCTCCCACTAGTATATGCACAGGGCCAAGGGTTTCATACTTCACCTAGATGGACACCAAGTAGAGTGAGAAGCAGATTTCCTTTTAATGCATGTCAATGCTTCGTGAAAACACACTAGGAGAGAAATGTATGATGCCTCCTTTTCTGACCTGTGAGTATCCCTCAGGAGATGTCTGGTTAGGAATTATCAGCTGACTAAAAACAACATTTTGCCTGTCTTAGGTGGCCTGATCCATAGGCTGTGAAAAAGAGATTTCTAGGAAGGAATGTAAAGGTGGCATTTTATGATGATATCCAGGAACTTTCTCCCCCAGGTCCTTTATAGTTAGATTGTCTTCTCTATGGATGATACATTTGCAAGATGTTCATTTTCCTAACTTGGTGCCATGTGGATTGTGGATAGAGATGCACAGGGACCAATAGACCCCCAGAGTCTGGGTACAACGAAATCACTGAACAGAGTAACCACAGGACAATATATATTCCTCCAGACAGAATAAAGAGTGACAACCATGGCTGCATGTGCAAGACCAAGGAGCCCATCTGGACATACTCAGCTACTTAGATTATATATTAGATTGTACGTTAACTATATTCGATTTCTGTTTTGAGAAGATGAAAAAAGGCTACACTCTCTCACTAAGACCATCTATGTTTCTCCCCAGAGCAGGAGGGGCTGGAACAATTGCAAATGTACCATATCTGGAGCTACCCTGGCAAGTCACAGAGCATGTTCTGATGTCAAGAAGAGGCCACCAATAAAACCTCTCCAATCAGCATTCAGACAGCCTTGGCAATTACCAAAAATTTATGATACTCAAGCTTTCACTGAGCAGCCACACTACTGGTGCCCTGATTCAACAATTCAGTTCCTCATATTATCACCCCTTCAGTTTTTTTTTTTTTTTATCGTGAATGGATATTCAATTTTGCAAACATGTTCTCTACCTTAAAGGAGATGAATGTATTATTTTTCTCACAATTTGCAAATACAGTAAGCTATATTAATTGATTTTTTAACAGACAAATGAATCTTGCATTCCTGGGATCAACTTAACTCGGCCATGATTTCTTCTC